GCGCCAGTACTTTCTGTGGCGCCTCTGGGGGTGGCTGCAGGTTCCTGGATGCGTGTACCTGTGTGTGCACGTGTGTGTGTGTGCATATGTGTGTGTGCATGTGTGTACCTGTGTGTGCACGTGTGTACCTGTGTGTGCACGTGTGTGTGTGTGTGTGTGTTCATTCCCGTGGGGCTTCAGACTCTGGGCGAGTCCCTCTTTTTGGATGAGCCCTTTCAGAGCCCTTGAGTCAGGCTAAGTAGTGAACCACCATCCTCCTCCCTGCTGCCACTTGCTTGTGGCCTTGAGCTCATTTCACCTCTTTGAGCAGCTGGGACCCCTGCCCTGCAGCCCTAGGCCCCCCAAGAGGGACAAGCAAGCTAAATGTGGGGAGAGATGCTTTGCAGGCCCTGAGCCTGGAACTGTGGAGGTTGCAGTGAGCTGAGATTGCACTGCACTCGTGGAGTGGAACTCCCTTGTGGCCTGCGGAGCTCAGGCTCTGCCCTCCTCCCGCCATGGCCCCAAAGCTGCCCCTTACGCACAACTCACCAGATATCCTCCCCTGCCCAGACCTGGGGCTGCAGCTGACATGGACCAGGGCAGGACCTGTCGGGATGAGAAACTGTGGCTTTGGTGGTGTGGCTGTGGCCACGGAATGCGCTCTTACGCGTTACTTGGTGGGACTTGTTACCTTGTGGGCTCACTCTTACTGCCTGACTTTTGAAAGCATCACACGGGAACATGATTGAGGGGCTCCCCCGTGCCCTTCCGTGGGTTCGTGTGTGTGTCAGACCCTGGACCAGCCCGTTTCTGTGGCTCCCCCAAGCTGTCCCTGGGGTGGGCTGGAGCGGTGCTCAGGATGGTGGACGCAGATCCGAGGGGCGGCTAGCTGGGAAGCCTCGTGCCACATCGTGGGGGGTCGCCGCTGAGCTGCAGCTGGGGCACTGTCTTCTTCCCTGCGCCAGGAGTGAGATGAAGCGTTGGATGACCTCGCTGGCCCCTAACAGGAGGACCAAGTTTGTTTCGTTCACATCCCGGCTGCTGGGTAAGTCACCGGTGGGTAAGGGGGCGCCATTTGTGCTTGGGCTGGCCCTGCCTGATGCCGCAGGTGCACGGTGTGCCCTGCCTGGAGGGAAGACCTCCCTGAGCTGGTGGTCTTAGAGGCCTGCACGGGCCTCCAGGGGCTGCTTCCTACTGGAAGCTTAGTACGGGCCAGCAACGCGGCATGGCCACACTGTGTGAATGTTGGATGGGCCTTAGGTGACAGTACCACCAAGTCACCAGGGGGAATTTGGACCAAACTCCACTGCTGTTTTTAGGTTTGCCAGTTGTCCGAAAAGCGTATTAAATAGGAAAAAGCCAGGTGCAGTGGCTCATGCCTGTAATCCCAGAACTTTGGAGGCCGAGGTGGGTGGATCACCTGAGGTCAGGAGCTCGAGACAAGCCTGGCCAACACAGCGAAACCCTGTCTCTACTAAAAATACAAAAATTAGCCAGGTGTGGTGGTGCGTGCCGGTAGCCCTAACTACCTGGAAGCTGAGGCATGAGAATCGCTTGAACCTGGGATATGGAGGTTGCAGTGAGCTGAGATTGCACTGGGATATGGAGG